TAGAAAAACTGAAGATTCCAGAAGAAATTTCAAGGGTAGTCTTAAAAAAGATATTAAGATCTAATAAAAGGTTTCAGAGGACTTTTAAAAAAATGCTTTCCGAAAGCAGACAAGTCCTGTTATCAGCCCAGCTGTTCATCCATCAACTCAAAGACAAGGCCCACAGTGGTATATCCACTGTACTTAATGATATTATACAGTTACCTAATTCTTGGCATCGTCTCAGGTTGAATACCAACAACATTAATACCCTCATGACTTCCCCTGTAGACTCTAGATCTGGTTTCTTTTTCTTTCAGTAACCATCAAGCAAGTTTCCATTCTGGAAGACTTAAATAAAAATAGCTCTAAAATGCTCACATTTCTAATTTATACTCAGGAAGTTTTATGTCCTACAAATGTAAAATGTGATTCTAACAAAAATTCTAATATCCATAGTATCCAGTGTTTCATGCTCCAGGACTGTCACATAAAGAGACCATTTTAATTAAATCTTCATGGAATGTCGTCAAAAAATCCATTCCTTGAGTCTCAGAGTTAGTTTAAAAACGCTCTCTGCTGCATCAATTTTACCAGAAGTGGACATGAACTCAAGAAAGACTTCATTATCATGAACACCTTTTTCCAGCTACACTTAGGCCAAGTTAATATCTGATGTCTCCGGGTTTTTGTTTTTTTTGTTGTTGTTGTTGTTTTTCTTTTGCTGCTGCTGTTGTTTTTGGGTCTTTTGTTTTTATCCTCATTGTCTAGTGCTGGGGATTGAGCCTAGGACATCACACATTCTACTATTGAGCTATACCCCAATCCCTTCCTACACCCCTAACTCTTACCCACTCAACACCCATTTCCCTACTTCTTTTCTCTCTGGAAGTCCTTTAGGAAATTACTTCTTGAACTTTCTAAATACACAGCTTTATCTACTATGATTCAGGGAGAGCTATCATTTTGATCTCAAAGATATAACTAATGGTAAGACCCTAATTCAATCAAAGTTTACCTTATAACTTTGCTGTACCTACCAGGAAAAAGGAACTAACTACTTCCTTTCAAATTAGTTTATCAGTTGGAGAAGAAACACTATCCGAAACAGAGCCAACCAGAAGAGTCAAGATTTTTAAGCCAACAAAGGTCTAGAGATGCTCATCACACCCTGAATCTACCTCTGTGTGGGCCTGTATCAGTTCTTGAACTTCTCAAGTATGACAGTCCACAAATGTTCTCTCCCTGTTTTATCTCCTTAAGCCAATTTTACCTTTTTTACTTGCTATTGTGAGGTTTTTGTCTTGCACACAAAAATGAAATGAGTATGATGCATGAGTATATATGCCAACTCCCCAAAATGAATGTAGGAAGTTTTGCAAATATGTACTAATAACGAAAAAGAAATAAGGTCATATACAATTCCCTTGTAGAGCTCTCTTCCTTCTTTCCAAACCTTTAACACAAAATGCTAAAGTCTTAGCAGAATGCAAGTGAATAACAGAAACACCTGCTCAGGATATGTCCACAAGCTGCCTTATCTATCTATGCAGGACTTACGTATCTACACCAGTCTCACACTATATCTACACACAGATGACCATAGATGGAACGGTATATAGTTTGTTCCAGGCCTCAAATTTATGATCCCATTAAGCTTTGATTCCCTCTCACAGGATTCTTGGGAGGATGAGTGCAGCAAAAGTGTATTTTACAAAAGAGTCTTTAAAAAGAATCTGACATGCTTTATTCCCAGGTATTTTTTGAATATTGTGTCTACCAAAAAAGGCAACAGATCACTCAAAGAACTACTGCTGAATACGTAAAGTATGTAAGGCACTTGTTGAATATACATATTAAGAGACCTAAAAATGCTTTTGATATAGAATGAAAATGAAAGTACACTACACAGAACAGATAAGTCCCCATCAGACAACTACCAAAATGCTATGTGAAGAGAACAGGTGAACTACTTTTTTGAAAAGTTTCATGGAAGAGGCATCAATCATTAGTGCCTTGATGCTAAAAAAAAAAAAACTCTACTGATCAGAAACATCCATTGATAGCGAAGGAAGATGAGTTTATCTATGAATACAGACGTATCGTGTACACTCTCAGCATCTCATAATACTAAATTTTTTTAAACAACTCTTTTCAAAGATCCAGTGAGACTAAAACATTTCTCCACCTTGTTACAAAGTAGTAAGCACTATAGAAAACTGTGAGGACAATTCTCTCAATGAGAATTGTATTTTTTAACCAGATGAAATTTATGTCAACTTTTAAACTATGTATACTGTTTTCAGATAATTTTTATTGCCAAAACTGTTCAGTGAAATTGTAAGTTCCTTGAGAGTAAAGCCAATATTATTTACATCTTGCCATCTCCTTGCCAAATGCTCCTTAGATGAATTAAAATATCAAAAAAATTCACACCAAAAAGTGTGACACTGAAAAGTGTGAAAAATGTCACTCTCAGAAATCTCTAAATCGTCTACATTTCCCAAAATACACAATGCACTCCTACAGTGAGCTCTATACCAAAGCTGTTCTCCTTGGAACATCCTTCAATATGACCTTCCATTCCCAGTTCCTGAAACTGTCTCCCCCTAAAGCCTAGTTCAAATGTCCCCTTTTCTTTAGAAGTACTTCCTGACATGTCCAGAGAGAATGAATCCTTTCTCCTCTCCATGTCCTCTGTACATACTCTTCATATAGTACTGTTACTGTAGAAAAATTATGCTAATATATGACTGGAGGGGTGCCAAGACTAAGAGAATGCACATGCTATGAGAATACAGCATGGGCCTTGCTCATTTTTACACGCCGAGCACAATGAAGTCTTATATGGGTGCCAAATAAACATTTGGAATGAAACCAAATAAACAGAAAATGAAGAAAAACATAAACAATAAATGGCTGTCAAAATTAGGCCAAAGTTATCTGCTTGCGATAGTTGATACATTGTGTCAACTTGAGTTCACTTTGTAAACTTCCTGAGCCTATTCAAGAGGACACAGAGATGGTGTGTTACACCCACCTGAGGGAGGAAAAGAGGTTTGTTCCCTCCCTTTTTGCTCTGGTTGCTTTTGCTGTCTTCTTCCCCCTGAAACTGTTTGCTCCTCTGCCACACTACCTGCCTCGGAGCCAGCTGACTATAGACTTAAACTTCCACAAACTGTGAGCTAAGTAAACCTTTCCTCTCTTAATTCTGGGAGTCAGGTTTGTTTTTTGTTTCTTTTTTTGTTTTTTTTTTTTTTTTTTTTGTCTTAACAAGGAAAGCATGAACTGAAACACTTAAAACCAAGGAAAACGGAAAACATGAAGAAGTCCTTCCTATTAAGTTAGTGGCCTTGATGACAAAATTATTTCAGATTCAATCATTAAAGTCTTTGATGATTTGTGGAGCATATTCTCATTAACTACTAACTAATACTCTGGACTATAGAAAGTGGAGCATGGCCAATGATGATCCATACAACATCCAATCAGGGCACAAAACTACTATATAGGAATAAAAATGTGTATATTGCAAAAGAAAGTCAAAACATATGGTACCCCACACCCCATTCTGGAACTTATAGGAAGATGGAGCATTCAGAAATGAGGAATGCTCACCACTTACCAGATGGCGCAACATAAAAATTTAGACACAGACCAAAGTATAGGCAAATAACTCACTTGTCCTGATATTTACAAAGCAGACAATAATGCAGGGCCAAGCCCTGCATTATTTTTTTTTTTAAATGTTTAAGGCTGGAAAATATACACGACTCAGAAATAATGAGAAGCTCAGCTATCAACCTTCTACCCTCTGTACTTTGGAGAATAGATCACAGTTCTAACCTCCACTACCCTCCCGGCCTAGTCAGGGAGTGAAATCCAGACAAGCAACTTTTACAACTGTATGTAAAAATAAACACTCAACATGGAAATACTGAAGAGGAAGGACAGGAATATCAGGTAAGCTTGGCAGAGGCCATTCCCTCTCATCTGTCCTTAATACTGGGCAGAATTAACCTGGAGAAAGACAAAGTGTGACGGAAAAAGGATAGGGTACACTAAGTATACAAAAGCACTGGTTTAGGGGTCTAGTTCTAGTGTTTCCACAAATGCACCAGCACAGAAACAGCCGAGCAGGCAGAACAATTGTTATTATCTACCTGAATATGTACCTAACACAGCCAGGAAGGTACAAGAGAGAGAGAGAGATAAATGAAAGTACAGCCGGCTGGTGCTTTCTAGTTAAGTGGTAAGGCTGCTAGGATAATTAATTATACAAGTCCCTGCTCTCAAAAAGCAGCCTCTGCTGGAGAAGACTGCAGGTAAGTAAGCAGTCCAACATGCTGGCTACACTGTGATCCAGAGGTCTCATTTCTTCAGTGAGTAAGAGGAACTGGGGATTTTATTCACTTCTGTCTGCCTTTTATCATTCTGAGTTCCTCGTCAGCAGGACAGAGTGAGGGAGGAGGAAGCAGGGGGTAATAGGTTTAAAAAAAATGAACCACCGTCAAACCAGACTCTACTTATGTGGCGTCACAAGAGTCAGCTCCTGTTCCTGGGGGAGAAATAATTGCTAATAAAACGCCATCGGCGGGTGCGTGACTCGAGGTGCCGTCTAACCTGTCCCGGCTCCCCGCGACCGCGGCCCTGCCCGTCCGCTGGTCCCCGAGCCCCGGCCCCGCCCGCCCCAGGACGCCGGGCGCACCTTGGTGGGCGCGGGCGGCCGCTCTCCGGCGCCGGGGGCCGCGGAGTTCGCCTCGCGCGAGTACCGGTGCGCGGCCGCCGCGGTGCCCTGGGGCCCGGGCCGCTGGGCCGCGCCGCAGCCGCAGGAGCCCGCGAGGGACGCCGCTCCCCCGCCGGCCCCGACCTCGTCGCGCCCCGCCGCCCCGCACGCGAGCAAGAGCAGCGGCAGGACGAGCACGCCAGCGGCCGGCCCGAGCGCGGGCGCAGCCATGTTGCTCCGCGACCCATGTGATCCGGCGGGTCACGTGGCCGGCCCGCCCGCCCGCCCGCCCGCCTTAAAGGGGCGCTGTGGCGGCTCAGAGAGCCGCTTGGCTAGATCCCGCTGTCCGCCTCTACCCCGGCCGTCTCGGTACCGGGAGCTGAACACAGGTACTTCACACTGAGCTGCATTTCCACCTCTACTGCCTTATCTTTTGAGACAACGTCTCGCAGAATCGTTAAATTGCTGAATGGGCTGGAATTTGGGATTTTCCTGCCTCAGCCTCCCACAATGCTGGCATTGGCCTTCTTGACCAGTTCTGTTCACCTTTTTCCGGATATCTCTTTGGAGCGCTCTTGCTAATGTCATAACGCAGCAAAAGACAAAATTTGTAATTCTCAAGCCCCTTCACAGACAACACACCCTTTTATGATTTCTTAGATGAAAGAATGATGCTTGTATTTACTGAGCATTTGCTAAATGTCAGAGTAGTATACTAAATAAGCATTTCATTTTTAACATCTCATTTAATCCTCACAATGGTCCAGTAATAATGGGAACACTTGTTCAATGTCACATGACACCTGTCAAAAACAAAATTAAAACACAGAAACTCTTACTGAATTTCAACCATTACGCTGCATTGTAGCCAGTCCAGTAAGTTTCCTTTAAGGAAACTGAAGAATACTGTCGAAAGACATAGAGTTAGGAAAACCCAGACTGTGGGATCCGCACAACAAGTTCTCAAAGTTTTGCCCCAGCCCAGCTGATTAAGCATATTACCTTGTAACTCTTAATATAGGAGTAGAATCTCTGGGAATGAGACACATCTCTTCAGCTGATTCTAATGCATATTAGTTTTAGACCAACTCTTCTATGGTTTCAAAGTGCAAAACCAAAACAAAAAGAAGATAAAAGGAAATTTTATAGAGTAAAAACAATATAGCAATAACCTGGCCTAATGGTGAATGCTTATACTCCCAGCAATGGGGGCAAACCACTTGAACAGAGAGCTCCTAAACCAGATTGGGCTCAGGCCATACCCTTTGAAGAAGAAAAAAAGAGCAACCAGCTGCAATGAATGAACCCTATCTAAAGAATGATTCAAACTTAGCAATTTAAAATTCTTCCAAGATACAGGTTAAGTAACCCTTATCTGAAATGCTTGGAATCAAAAAGTGTTTCAGATTTCAAAGTTTTTTGCATTTTGCAGTACTTGCATACACTTTATATGTAGAGCATCTCTAATCAGAAAAGCTAAAATTTGAAATACTCTAAACACCAAAAAAGTTCAAGTATCATGTGAGTACTCAAAAAATTTCCAAATTTGAGAGTATTTTGGATTTAGGGTTTTTATAATGCAACGCAACCTATAATCAGGGAAATTTGAACACCGAATTACTGTATAATATTTGAAAAAGTTAAAGGATTGCTTTAAATTTTATTTTTAGGTTGTTAATACCCATAATGGTGATTGCTGGTGCCTGCCTGTAATCTCAGCACTTGGAAAGCAGAAACAGAAGGATTGCCATGAGTTCTAGAGCAGCCTGGGCTATCTAGTGAATTGAATGCCAACCTAACTGATTACTGAAACCCTGTCTCAAAAAAAAATATTGATGAAACATGATTGGCCATAAGTTGTAATTGTTGTAGCTATTTTCTGGGCATCTGGGGATTTATTGTTCTAGTGTCTGTCTACTTTAACTACATCTGGTTTTTTTCAATACAAAGAAAAGTTATTTCCTCCTTGTTGACAATTTTACAGGAGTTTGCTGAGAAAGCTTTCACATATTTTCTCATTTAAGATTACAAAACAGTTGGCAATGCAACTATGATTATTGTAGCAATTTCAAAACTGGTGAGGCCACAAGATCAAGACCTGAACCAGTTTTCTATATTCAGTGTGCGCAACCTATACTCCAGGGCCTGGGTCAAAAATCATCTTTGTTCATTTTTTTCAGAGGGCCAATCCACATGCTGTGTCAGTTTTGGTCCTGCTACACCGTTAGGCTACGTGCTCCAGGAAGGTAAGGAGCCTGCTTATGGGTTCACCACTGTATCAGGAGAATCAGGCAAAGCCCTGGCACAGGACAAACACTGTATGAATTTTTTAATGAATTCATGGGTATATGAATGAATGATAGTAATTGTTTACCTCTTTCTCTTATGATGAAGCAGACTGTAGAGAAATTAATAAAGGTTTTAGACTCACAACAAAATGTGTAGTCCAGGGATTTGACTCAATGGCATAATCGCCTGTCTGGCAAGCTTCAGGTCATGAGTTCAATCCTCAGTACCAAAAAAATAAATAAATAAGAACAAGATGTGGTTAATCCTGGCCATTTACAAGTGATATGATCTAGGCAAATTACTTCAGCCCTTTAAGCCTCAATTCCTTGGTATGTGAAATAAAAATAACAATATTTCTTCTAATGATAAATCCCTTTACCAAGCACACCAAAGGTTCTAGGTTTCATCCCAGTGGGTCCGTAGAAGTTGTAGTAGAAGTTGTAATATGTGTGACCACTTCTTCTTTTACCCCTTGGTGTCTGGAACCATGTATACTTCCTACTTGGGGACACATACAGACTCCCCAGATTGAATCCTTATCAGCTGCTCCATTCTTGCGGAGATTATGTCTGCTACAGTTTGAATGTGGTTTGTCCCCCAGAAGTGTGCTGGAGACTTGATCACCAGTATAGTAGGGTTGAAGTGGTGAGGCCTAGTGCAAGGTAATTAATCATCTACCTCAGAAGATATTGATGCTAGTCTCTGAAAATGAATTAACTTTCAATGAGTCAACATGTTATAAGTAAAGTCACACTATACACTTGGCTCCTTCTTCATGTGGCTATTTTCCATCCCATTTCTGCATCATGTTTTGCTGCAAGACAAGGAGGCTTTCACCAGAGATTAAATAGATGGGGCTGCTAGATAGTCCACTTTCAGCCTCCCAAACTATGAGTTAAATACATTTCTTTTATTTATAAAGAAGCCGACAGTTGGGCATGGTGGTGCACGCCTGTAATCCCAGCATTTGAGAAGCAGAGGCAAGAGGATCATTGCAAGTTTGAGACCAGCATGAGCTACAAAGTGAGCTCAAGGTCAACCTGAACTGCAGTTCAGGTCAACCTGAACTGAAACCTTATCTCAAAAAGACAAAAAAGGGCCAGGGATATAGCTCAGTGGCATAAGTACCTGCCTGACAAGCATAAGCTTGTGAGCTTGATCCTCAGTATCAAAAAAAAAAAAAAAGCTGGCCCTGGATATTTCATTATAGCTACAGAAAACAGCCTATGACAGCCCCCAAACTGACATTTCAGCTGTGCCTTCAGTAAGGTCATTCCTTACTGCATTTCATCATTTATGAGATCGTTCCTGTCCTTTATGAGGCCAGATGCTTTGCTTGGTATGGAATAGGATAAGACCATTGGATTCCGTGATCATGGCTTACCCCATACCTCTTCACTATGAAAAGGCTCCCCTTGCCAAATACTATCATTTGTGGAAATATCTGCCTCTACATCTGGCATTCTGTAAGCTCTCAGACAGTTGTACTGACTGAGGCTGTTGCACCAACAAAGATATAGCTTGAAACTGTCTACTCCTCAGCTTGTAGACATTTGGTTTCAATTTTGACTTTTATTAATAATGTTGCTGGGGCTGGGGATTTAGCTCAGCAGCATAAGCACCTGCCTTGCAAGCAGGCGGTTGTGAGTTCGATACCTGGTACCCATTAAAAAAAAAAAATAATGTTGCTATGGACGTTTGTGTACACATTTTCATTTAGACATTTGTTTTACTTTTTCCTGAGTATGTACTAGGCATAAGATTGCTGAGTCTTATAGTAGACCCTATATTGACCCTTCTTAGGAGCTATTTGCCAAAGCAGATGCACCATTTACACTCCCATTACACTCCACTTTATGTGGGGTTCAGTTTCTCCATGAAATAATTGATTTAAGATCTTTCTCCTTTATCAGGCCCACTATATCCTTAGCCAGGCTATGCTAAGGTTTGACCCTGGTCATTACCCAGCAGCCACAAGAGGATGTGGAGGCATCTCCTGGGAGAGAGAGGGGCTATAGGGCATGGCAAACCTGTGGATTTTCTGGGACCAAGTCCTGTTTGGTATGCAGTGTCTTCCTACATAGGAGAACTGATGGTTCTCAATATGGAGAAGACTTCTGCGAACAAAGTGTATTTTTATTTTTAATGTACTGTTAATTTTATGAAATACCTGGTTTTATTTATTTTATGTTTTAGTTTTTTAAAAAATTATTAGCACATGTTTGCAGTACATAATAATTATGCTTATTGTGCAGAATCGGTACACGTATGTAACAACTCTGAATTCTTTTTGCTTCCCATTCTCCTCCTTTCCTTCACCTTGAACCACAGTTTCTGCATCTGTAAAACTGAGCTAATACTGAGAATGAGAAAACTGCTCAACACACTGCCTGACACATAGCAGGGGCCTGATATGTGCTTTATTTGAACTTGAAGTTTTATCTCTCTTTCTAATCCCAGGAAGCAAAGAGTATGAGGACTCTGCAGGACCAAAGTGTGCTACAAATGTCAGTACGTTCCCTGGATTCCAGAATTTTTAAATACCTTGGAAGCTTGTCTGTGTAATATTATGTCATGCCATGCCCAAGAGAAGAAAGAAAAAAACCCAACCTTTCAAGAGCTTCTGAAGCAAAGATGCCCTCTGTCTGTACTCAGGGCTATATTCTCCGTCCCTGGATAGTATTGACAAATGGGCTTGAAGGTGGAGTGCTAGCTTTTAGGCCTAGCAGTGTGACTTTGGGCAAATTGCTTAGCCTCTCCACGTTTACTTCTCTACATGAAAAATGGGAAATAGCGTTGCAGTGAACATTAATGAGATTTTTTTTTTTTTCACAAAGATTACCAGGAAGATGCCTGGCTCTCATTTAGTGTTTTGTGGACTCTGAAGAAACAATGTAGATGCAGACAACCATGGCTAAGCAACCCAATTGGGTATGCATTTCTAAATCAGTGTTTTCTTTCATAGCATTTTTTAAATTAAGAGGTGAAGTCTCATATGTGGGCCCTAAGCCTGGGCTCAAGCAACCTTTTCCTGTAGTTAGTGTTGTATCCCAAAAACTAGCCCCCAAAATGGTGTCCAAAAAATAGAGCAAAACGTCTTTTTTAAAGAAAAAGGACCGCTTTTATTTATCCTGGCACCAGCGACACAGTGCAGTTGGAGTTTGCAAAGCTGTGTAACTGGCTTAAAATTTTGACAGACTTATAGAAAGAACAATTACAAAGTAAATTAAGAAGATCTTTGTTTCCCTTTGCTTGAGGGCAGAGAAGTTTCACAGTTGGTGGTCAGCCACTTTCTTCTTTACAAGAATTTACAGTCATTTGTCTACTAATTTCAGGATTAGCTATCTTTTACAAAAGGGGAACAAAGAGAGGAATTCAGGTCGACTGATTCCAGGAACAACTGTCCTTCATGAAGGGAACAAAGATTAACACAGCAAATAGGTTACCAGGGTGACGCCGCATTCAGAACAGTATGGCAGCGCTTTTTAGTATAACGTGGGCATGTGCCACCACACTCAGCATCAGCCTCATTTTCAAAACCCCTCATATAACTACCTACAAGGAGTAATATAATCTTACATATTATAGAAGAACAAAGCCACATCAGCAAGCAAATCCTGTGTGGAAACCAGTGTCATGAGCAGGCCACCACTGGACCATGAACAGGCAGACCCCAGCCCCTCCTACACACAGGCTGGCAAACAGGAAGGACCAACACATACCCCACCCCACCCCTACCACAAGTGACTGGCTTATCAGAGAAACACAGGCTGTGATGATAGCTACAGAGGTGAAGTGGAATTGGATGCCTATGGTGCTTTGGTGTTTCACTAACATTGTAGGTCCATGGCCAGTGGTCTGATCATAGGTTCAGAGGATCTTGGTACACAGTGTGACATCTAGGGGGGATCTCCTTCTGAGGGTTGCAGCCATTGTTGATTCCCTATGGTCTTGTTTTGAAGTCCTATATCATTTCCATTGTTTTGTTGGGTTTGGTTTTATTGTCTTCTGTTTTGTTTGATTTATGTCAAATCTGATGGCAGGAGCAGCTATTTCAAAGATAGCAAGATATATTATGGTATCTATTTTGGATTTACTATAGGCTTGTTTTGAAGTCCTTTATTGCATTGATTGTTTTGTTTGTATTGTTTCTATTCTATTCTGTTCTGTTTGATTTTCACTCTATCTGAAGGTATCTGCAGCTATTTTGAAGACATTAAAAGACATTATGGTAACTATTGTTGATTTTGTAATATTTTGACGTCCTATTCTTTTACACTTGCTTGTTTTGGTTGGTTTTATTCTGTTTTATCCTCTTTAAAACAGAAAAAAACACATATTTTGTCTTAAAAATCAAATCTTTCATATTTTAGTTTCTCATGTCACTCAAAATCGATAGCAAGCATTAATTTTTTGAAAAATAATACATGTACATTAAAAATAAATGGTACAGTGCCAAAGTACAGAATGAAAACTAAGCCTTTCTCCTATCCTGGCTGAATATGGTATTTTCAAATAGGCATATCACATAGTTTGGTCATATCCACCGTTCCTCTTATCCTCCCTTAAAACCCCTTCTGGCATCATTATTCTCTTTCTTTTGTCTAAAATGATCTTCATTTTAGGGTTTTTTTTTTTTTTTTGCTTTGGTTTAGGATGGGTGTATGTTGCCCAGGATGGCCTTGAACACCCAAGGTAAATGATCCTTCTACCTCATCCTCCTGAGTAGCTGAGTCTACAGCCACTGAGAACTACACCTGGGTTTAAGCTTTTTAGTTGTTATAATTTGTGCTATAGCCCATGAGAGAAAACATTTATTTGCGTTTGTTCCTCTTTTCTAATACTTTTGGTCCTTCTGACCTTTAAAATGGGAACACAAAGGTACACACACACACACACACACACACACAGAGGCTTTTAAAAAAACTACGAAGAAGAAATGCATTTCAAAGATACATAGGACAGGAGATATGGAAAAGAGAAAAGTTAAATTCCAGGGGCTAAAGATGTGGCTTGAGGATAAAGCAGTTCTCTAGCATTTGCAAGGGCCTACATTCAGTCTTCGACACCATCAAAAACAAAAATGAAAACAAAACAATTCAGAAGGTGCCAGTGTGTTGTGGAGAACAGAACCAGCAGCAGTGGGGGGTTCCGAAGCTTCCCAGCTTCAGGGTCCCGAGCAGCAGGTGCTCCAAACCTTCCTCCAGTGCTGGCCCACATTAGTCTCCACCTCTTCATGTCTACTTTTCCCCCGGTGGGTATGTCTTCTTTATGGATTGCCTTGCCTTCATCGCCTTTTTATTTCCCTCTCTACAGCCTCTGCTCAGTCACAGTTCCATGTGCAGCACATTCATGACCCTCTGAAGCTTCCACACTACCTCTGAACTATCCACGAACTCCTGCTCTCAGTACACTAGCTATCAGTTTCTCCACTCAGCTGCCCTTGAGAGGAAGCCTGGTTTGCCCAGTTCCTGTTTTCACACCACAGTGCACAGCAGGCCCAAGGGGAGCTGATGGTTCAGGCAGCGATCTCTGGTCCATTGGGCTGTAATTAGAAGGTCATGTAAACTTGAAGTTTGATTCAGAATTAGAGTCCTTCTGTGTTTTGTTTAGTTTTTTCATTAGTTTGCTTTTGAGACAGGATCTGCTATGGGGCCTTGAACTTGTGGTGAACCGTCTTCCTCAGCCTCCCAAGTGCTAGGATCATGAGCATGCATCACCATGCAAAGCTTGTTAGTTGTTTTTCTTAGTTGTTTTTGGTTGTTTATTTTTGTTACAGGATTTTGCTAGTTAATTTAGGCTAGCTTCAGACTTGTTACATATTCTAGGCTGACCCTGAATTTGCAATCCTCCTGCCTCAGTCTCCTAAAAGCTGGAATTTCAAGCATGTGCCACTACACCCAGCTCTAGAAGCCTCCTAAAAGCAACAACTGCTAAGTTTATCCCCAGATTCTGTAAGTCTGGGCTAGGGTTTAAGACTTTGTATTTCTAACAAGTTTCCATATAGTGCTGACTCCCACATTTTGTAGCTGCTACTTTTATAAAACAAGCCACTAGCCTACCCCTTAACACCTGTGCTAGGTTAGGCATTTTTCTCTTTCCTGTGCTGAGGTATGACAGGTACTGACTGACAACTCCAATATAACCTATAATTATCCTTTTCCAAACTTACCACCTGTTCGTCTTTATGATCTCTCGGTATAGTTGTAATGGGAGAGATGGATGAGAAGTGATGAGAATGGCATAAAATTTTTTAGAGCGAGTGAAAGATATTTTGTGTGCCTTTAAAAAGAGGGGAAGGAATAACATCAGAAAACCCCATCTCTGTGTTTCTCGTTAAGATCCTAGCTTTTACAATGTTTGAAATCAAGTAAGGAGAGAAAAGAATGAGTTCCAACTTTATCAACAATGAGAGCTGAATTGTAAAGATAGATATTCCAATGCTCCTACTGTAGTGGTTCTATTTGTAGTACACCATTTATTTAGAAAACAAATTGTCAAGATGCTGCTTGCTATGAAGGTGGAACATTAGCAAGGGAAATAGCACATAAATCACATCAACATCTGTATGTTTTTGAAAGTTACAATATATGTCACTTTTTTTGGCTTCAGCTAGTACCAAACGTGTGAATGAACTCCCAATTCTTGTAGTCCATCTTTAGTTTCCTAGAAGTCTGTCACCAAAGTCTGAAGGATCACTAAGGAAGTAAATTCTAGGAAGACTGAAACCAGTCCCCTGCTTGGGCCAGGATTGTCTAACAAAATGGAATGAATTCTAAATTAGATTCACAGATCAAGCTTTGACTTTATCTTGAGTCACTAAACATTATTATGATATTTTAAAATTATTAGGGCATTTTTTGGCTTCCAACATGTATATCCATCCCATTTTATGACTTACGTATTTTATGAACTATAGATACCTCTAATTTAGTAATACATTCTTTTCCTTCAAATAATTCTTTTCAAAGTAGAAGTATAGTGGACCAGTTTTGATGGCACCGATCTGTAATCCCAGGACTTGGGAGGCTCAGGCGGGAAGATCACCACAAGTTCCAGGCCATCAGGGGCTACACAGTGAGTTCAAGTTCAGCTAAAACTACATACAAGACTGTATCTCAAAAATAAATAAACAAACAAAGTAACTAGCGGTATATATTTTGGTAAATGGTAAGTACAAAGTGGAAATGATTTTCTGTATTGTTATAATTGACCAAAAAATGAGTTTGTTTTCTCCTCTTGCTCCTATTTCTTGAAATTTGCAAATGCATTCTCCTCAAGAGAATATTCCACTATGCTACAAGAGAGAGTAAAGCCCCCCAAAGAGGTCTGTATCTCATTTTCCAGAACTTGTAAATACAAGTTACACTGCCAGAAAAGGACTTCACAGTTATTAAGTCTGGGAAAATTAATTCAGATTATCAAGTCTAATCACGAGGGCCTTTATAAGGGAGAGAACTCTTGGCTGTGGTCAGAGAACCATAAGGGTATGGAAGAATGACCACAGACATATAGCATTGTTGTTTTGAAGATGGAAGAAGGGAGCTAAGGATCATGGGATGGACATGGCCCTCTAAAAGCTGCAGAAGGAAATAAAACAAATATTCCTCCAGAGCCCCAGAAAGGAATATAGCTCTGCTAACATGTTGACTGTAATCCAATAAAACATGTTGAATTTCTAACTCGTATAATAGAATACATTTGCGTTGTTTCAGCTACCAGGTTGTAATTATTTGTATGGCAATAACAGGAAATTGACCCAAATATGTCTTTGAGTTCCAGCATTTTCACTGAGTTCAGGCTGGAACTCAGGCAGAGAAGGGCTGCTCTGGCTGGGGCACAGTCGACCACAGTGGAGTTCTGACCACAAGAGGGACTCTCTCCCCCAACCTGTGTCCCTCGTTCCTCTTTCTTGCTGACAGTGTGTGACCAAGTTCTTACCTGGCACAGTGGTTGTGATAACCATTTTGAACACAGGCCCAGACAGTCTGAAATCAGATGCCAGCTGTTTAGGGGAATTCAGAAAAATACCAACTGCTCACCACCTGGAGGTTTTGGAGACCTCTGAAAGCATGGGAAGTTTCAGGCCTTTGACTGAGACAGGAAGCTGTAGGGCCTAGTCAGTTCTTGGCCAGATAGTGCAAACTCTGGAGTTGTTTTTGAGACAGTTTTATAGTACTTTAGGTACTTGTGTGATTCATTTGTACACGGAGAGCATGACAAGATGCAGATGTTCTTTAGCTTCAGTGCCCACCCCAATTACCCAGAGGGATGGCTAAAACACAGATTAATGCTCACTTGCCACCCCTGCCCCCTGCTGAGAGCCACAGTTTTGCTATGATTCATGAAAAGTTACTGTAATACCAGAGGCACACCTATGTCAACCAAATGTGCCTCACAAACTGCCCTCCTGACAGCTGGTAGAACTCTTTCCCAACTCTTCCAGCCATGGATTATCATTTAACTTTTTTATTCAGGAGGATGCCCAGGGGAAAAAGTCTGAATAACATACTTTACCCACCAAACAGAGTAAAGAGGAAGCAAACAGTTTTCAAATATTTAGTGAAAATGTGTCTAACAAAAGAAAGAGGAAATTCATTTGGGTGTGATGCAATGGCTTTAGAAATGAATAGAAGTAAACTGGGCCAGGAGCAAATTAATTTGAAAATAATTGTACAGAAGAAAAAGGAACTATTTCATCCTCTCTCCTCTGGGAAATCTAACAGGAAAGTAGAGTTTTAGAGATTTTTTTCCTCTTTCTTATTCTAGGATAATTGATCTTATCATATGAAAAAAAGTCACCCCTGGAAAAATTCTATTTTCTTTGTACTGTGAGGAGTTCTTTCTCAGGGTTACAGCAATAGAACAGGTTAGGTCATTGGGAAACTAGTATGTTCCTATTATTTCCACATGAAAAATTTCCTGTTGACAATTGTCCACATTAACAATCAAGCCAATAACTTAATAGGATGAAATGCTACTATAATAAATAATGGATCTATTATAACTTATACATTAAAACTTAACCAGTTATCCCAGTATCCTCTGTGAAGTTCTGTACCGATTTCCCTGCATTATCTTGATTGGCTTTGTCTGTTGTATTTTACTACCTTCAAAATTAAAAACAAAACAAAATATTTATATGCTTATATATATAATAAATCAAGTAGCATTTGGGCTTTAATCATGCCTTCTCTTTAAAAAATAATGGTAAAGATCTGGGTAAGAGAATACTTAAGAAAGAGTTAACATAGTAGTTTGGAGAGTTGGAGGAGTGGGTTTGAGCCTGGTTTCTGGAAGCTCGGTTCCTCACATAATTGTAGTTTTTGTTTAATTGTATGATCTGGATAGATCACTGAGTCTTTAATATTAGTTTTTTTTATATACTTTATCAAAAAAAGAAATTTCTAAATTTTTCACTATTGAG